GATAGGGGATGGAGCCAATTCGGGACTCGACGTCCGTTCGGGACAGCTGGGGGTAGACACGGTTCAGCTCCGACGCGAGAATCCTGCCATCGCACGTGGAAAATAGATCAGCTAGTTTCGCGCCAAACCGGTTACAAGCACCCTTTGACCGCCTAAACTTACAGACGGACGTTTGTGACGACTGCAGGGTTGGCTGCATGATGACCTGTGGAATCATACAGCCACAGCTTGGGGGTGGGTAGCTCCTGACCACCGTCTGATGATGTCACAAGAGTGCTTGCGTTCTCCAGAACAAACAAGCTGAAGTGGAACCTGAAAAGAAGACGATTGTAGTGATTAGAGGACCCTAGCCATTAGCAAAACCACGGACGGGAGATTGGATCACGTACTCAGCCGCGGCAAAAATTGCCACATAGTCGAAGCGCAAAAAGGAGTCCTTGTCGTCGCAGCATGCGATGAGCTTCTTTTGTGACACCCAGTAGTCGTAAGCTTTGACATCGAGCGCGATCCACGTTTTTCCGTTGCCCAATGTCGGATGGCGGATGTCCAGGATGCTGTACGGGTACAAACAGGGGGGTTGTGTTGCGGCCGTTAGAAGGAAGCAGTGTTGCAAAAATGGATCCGCGAGTACTGACAAGCGATAAAACTTCTCCATTGACCCGACAGGACTTACATTTTGTGGAAGTCCAGTGCGTTGTCCGTGATTGGTGCATCGTCCTGCATGTGGAGAGCGTCGGCAACGTTCAACGTAGTGCCGAACCCATGCCAGTTAGAAACCAGCTTCGTGGGCCAGTTGCCACTCTTGACCGACGGTTCCTTCCTAGCTCGGCACGCCGGGGTAATGCCCGGGAGCTGCTTCATGCTCCCTGCCATGTCCGCAATAAGATCCTGTGCCGGTGGTAGCGACTTCTGGGGGGGGGGCGGGGGTTGGAAGGAATACGGTTCTGGCGTGGCCCGTGCCGGGTGCGCCCTAGTATTCGGGCCAGTCGCTGGTTGCTGTTCTGCACGAGTCGTCTTTTGACGTTTTTGGTGCTGGCCGCCCCTGTTACGCGAGCGGCGACCGCTTGGGACTTTAGTAGCATCCTCTCCGGCCGTTCCGCCGTGATCCGACGTGGCCTCTACTTCCAATAGGTCGTCATCCTCCTCGATATCAAGTGCGACTGGGTCGTCCGGCCGGCCCGTAGGCATCTCTAGTGGCTAGAGGTGAACGCGGGTGAGTCTCAGGCTAACGGCAACGAAGGAGTAAAGGGCTCAAACTTGTGAACAACGGTGAGTGGGACTGCTAATGCGAGATTGTTTGAAACGGAAAGCCAAACATCGAGCACAGGTCGGTGTGTAATGAGCAAGAATGACAATGAATATGAATGCGAGGGCCTGGGGTCTTGTGACTAATCACGGGCAACAACTGCACTCGCTTGCGGGAATTGCACGCTGAACAATTCGAGCACCGATTGGATGCATATCGCGTCGCGAACGTCGTTTTATCCGATTCCCGTCCACGTGGAACCGTGTGCTGGTTTATCCTTGTTCGCTCATGCTCGCGGTCTGTTCTTTAGCAAATCGAGGTTGTACACAGGGCCAAGCATGCGGAGGCAAACCCTCATGGGTGTCCATGAATGGTGAGAATCACATTGGTAGATTCCCCCGGAGGCCAGGTGGCGTGCAGCTACCCTAAACCATAAACTTCGTAGATAAAATGCGGATTGGACTTGGTTCGTTGTAATTAGCACGTTGGCCGTTTCACGCATGGTGTTAATGAGCACATGTGGCAACGGGGCTAAGCGTACCACGTGGGCAGCCTTGTTCATGAACGGCTGCCTGCGATTGGGGCTCATTCTGTTGCTGTGAAATGTCATAACACATTCAGCCAGTGCATCCGCGTTGACGTCAGACTGGTGCATGCATGGTTTTTGGTGGGAAACTTGTCTGACATTGTTTACCGTGATGAATAACCCCGGATCGTCCTGAAACGTCACCTTATTGGTCCACGTTCGATGTGCTCAGTTTCCGTTGCTCATTAACACATCGTCTCAATGACTGCCATTTGGCGCTCATAGGACCATCGACTTGGTGGCGCCTTGTCGAGCCTAAAGTACGAGCTGTCACACGTAGGCCTGGCAACACTGTACTACGCTTGTATGGCTCCAACAATGTTGGAGGGTCTGGTTTGGGTTTCTGGCAAAAAATTCGGACCTGACCGTACACTTACATCTACACTACCAATTTGCAGACATAGTGCCGGGACCGCGCGCCGCTCGCGATAAAAGGTGGGACGTGTGCCTTTTGGGTTGTGTAAAAATTTTAGCGCGATGAAAAAAATTCGCGAGACCTAAACCCGCGCCGCGGCAATTCTCTCGCAAAGGATGCTGGCAGCGACTAGTGCAAGTGCAGAAAGCACACATAATACCAGTGTGACCATCGCTCCCTGTTCCGCGCTATTGTGGACTCGTTTCCAACCACATCTCAATTCATTGGTGATCACCGCAGTTAAGAGCATGCTGCTACCAAACATCCTATAATTACAGTTTACATAAATGCGAATATGTAATGAGTTAGCTTACGCTCTGGAGCGGTCGCATCTACCAACAACACCTTGTTGAGATTTAACGTAAAATATATGCCCCAATAAATTATAGAGGTATATGCATATTACTCTGTTTAATGCGAATTTTTTTAAATAGGAGGCTTTTCACTATATCAGGGATACAGCAAAAGGGGCCACAGTCGTAACTGTTTCAGGGAGGGGGGCAATTACACAAAGTGCGAGAGCCACCCCTCGTGCTGTTCTACGGCGGTTTGAACCTGGCCCTTCGATCTGTCAAGATAGACAGGAACTCGTCACGCCACGTAAGTTTGTTGATCACCCGCGTGCTAGCATTTTCCAATGCCACGACTTCGTCCTTGGCCAGACGTTGTTTGGCCACGTGTCTCTTCTTTATCCAAGCCTTCCTTCGCTTGATGCCTTCATACGTCCGTGCATGTAGACAGAAAGCCGTCGCAATACTCCTCATCACTTTCCGACACTGGAACCTCCGCCCCCTGAACACCGCGTTGCAGCGCTCCACCCAAATCTGGTGGAATGTGATTGCTGACACCGTCAGCTCCAGGAAACCGGACGCTGTCCCCCCCGCGCTGGAATAGCAGGTCGCCAAGTGTCCTTGCTCTCCGCGCTGGATGACACGGCAGGAGAACAGAGCGTGGTCCACTGACTCCGCCTCCCCGCAGTGTGGACATTTCGCCCACTCCCCCAGAAATTCCAGGCGGTCCCCCACTTGTACATTGAAGCAGTGGGCACGCAGCAGGATGTCTCGCGCCTTTGCTGGGACGACGTGCGAGTCCCTGCGCGCAATTACCCGCTTCCAGTCGATCTTCCTCCTCCACAGGTTCTCCCATTCTGCGCGGCGAGGGAGTTTGACTAGCTGCTTGCGTCTCTCACCCAGTCCAACTCTCAGCTGCTTTAATGGGGCTGCCAGCTCACCCATGCACAGCTCCGACCTTAAGAGTCTGACGCGCGGCTCGCCTAGCTCCCCAACCACATCGTCCCCCATCGCCGCCATCAGCGTGACATCTGAAACATACAGTGTTTTGGTCCCCGCTCCTTCCGGCGCGAGCCACGCCTTCCCGCCGTCCTGTTGGCGCATCTTTATGCAATGAAGGAGATTGCCGCGGGTTTCGCGGATCCACCACAGCTGCACACCTCTCCCCGTCGTCCTCACGATCCTTGTGACCGCCGCCATCTCCTCCGCCGTGAGCCGCTTCATGACACACTCCTTCCAATCCTCCCGCATCGCCTTCATGATATTTGCGGCCACTTCCGCCGCCTGCTTGCTGCCCAGGTCACGTGCCAACCGCTCTGGTGACTTCCAGCTCCTGGTGCCGTCCGCCCATTTCATGAGCAGGTCTCCCACCATGATCTCGTGCAAATCCTCGTCCCCCTTTCGCCGTCCGAAGGGATAGCTCCCCTCACATAGAATATGCCTGTTGAAGAGCACGCGTTCCTTTTCGATGTCCCACCGGCTTCCAGCTTCCAAGCCTCTGACGACTGGCGACGACTGGCGACGACATCGCCGCCGCAGCAATTGCTTTCCACCGCTCACTCCCCGCTCCCCATGCTTTCAGCAGCGCCTCGTGCGCGAGAAAGGAGGCATAGCCAAGTGGGAAACTCGCCGCTCGCTCGGCCAACAGACGCCGCTGCGGCGACTCCTCCGTGAGTAGCAGCGCCTGGAGTGAAGCGCTTCCGCGTCCAGCCGGTCCTTGGGGTGAATCACCCCCACACCCCCCTCCTCCCTAGGTGAGTTGCATGAGGTCCCCATTCCAGAGAATGAAGCCCGGCTCCGAACTCGCCCTTCCCCCGGACACGAAGGCATGGCACAGATTCCTCAGCTCCTCCCATATCGCGTCCGGCGGGGGTTAGACCTGCGCCTGGAATAGCGCAGTGGGCATGACATATGCATTGACCACCGTCACCCTTGCCGTGGTGGTAAGGAATTTCGCCTCCCACTTCATCAGCTCTGCCTCCATTCTGTTCAGCGCTTTCCTCCATGATGGTTTTGATTCTCCCCCCGGCGTGATCCAGACCCTCAACAGGCACTCCGGAACACCTCGCACCGCCCATTTGAAGGCTCCGTCCGTTGGCGGAGGCTCATCCCGCTGCCTTCCCAACGGCAGCACCACCGACTTGTCCTAGTTGACCGCCAGCCCCGACCTCTGCTCGAACTCCTTAAGCAGCAGTTCGACGTCTCTAAGTTGCGAACGACCCTTCAGCAGCAGGGTGGTATCGTCCGCGTAACCCAGGTAAGTCAGTTTCTCAGCTCCCTTAATGTCGATTCCTAACCACCTCCTCCACGCTTCCTGGCAGAAGGGCTCCACCGCGCACAGAAAGAGATACGGCGCCAGGGGGCAGCCTTGCCTCACCCCAGTCTGAACCGGGACTTCCTCTCCCAGCCAGCCGTCGTTGCAGATGCGGGTTGCAGCACCCTGGTGCAGTCCCTCCACCCATTTCACGTACGCCTTCGGGAAGCCCATCTTCCGCAACACGTCAAACAGGTACCCCCGCGCCACTGAGTCAAAGGCCTTGCGGAAATCCACCAGGAGATGAGCCAGTCTTCTTGTTCGGCATTCGCAGCATCGATCACGTCCGCCGCCACCGCCACGGCGCCCGCGATACTCCTGCCAGGCGAGAAACCGAACTGCCCAGCTGACACCACTTTTTCCAGCTTGCCTTTTACCCGGTTTGCCAGTACTTTCGCGATAAGCTTGTACACCGTGCTCGGCAGCGTAATCGGGCGGTAATTCTGCAAGTCGTCCTTTGCGCCTTTCTTGTGCAGAAGCACCGTCACTGCTGTCGAGAACTCCTTAAAGAGCGACCCCATCCGCTCAAATTCCTTCAGAAATTGCATCATTTGCCCCCCTAGCAGGTCCCACTGCGACTCCCAGAGTTCCTTCGGCAGCCCGTCCCGCCCCGGAGTTTTGCCTGGTGCCATCTCCGCCAGCGCTCGCTTGACCTCCGCCTCCTCCCAGGGCGCACAGAGCGCCTCCGCCTCTTCCGGGGAGAAGCGCCTGTCCACCAACCTGTCCAGCGGTGAGTCCACTCCGGCCGCAAAGAGCCTGGTATAAAAGTCCGAGGCCGCCTTGAGCGCCTCCTTAGCCCCACCGTGCCGGACGCCCTGGTACTCGATCTCCACCAGGCGCGTCCTTGCCTTCCGCGTTTTGATTCTGGCTGAAAAAAAAGCCCATGGGGGCCTCCCCATTCATCTCCGCCTTAATCCCTGCTTGCTCCTGCAGCTTACGGCGCCTCCCGTCCACGTACACAATGAGCTTGGCCTCGCACTTCGCCAGCCGCGCCTTTGCCCGTGAGCACCAAGGCTCATTCATCACACGCTGCCTCAGCTCCCCAACCTCGCGTTCAAGGTGCGCCGTTGTGGCCGCCACCCGCTTCCGCTCCTCCACGGTATAAGCCTTGAGGCCCACCTTTAAAGAGGCTGTTATTGACTTCAAATCACCACCCCTTTCTGTGTTCTTTCGTACGATCTGCTCCACCCGTCTCTGCACCCTAGGCCGTGGAACTTGCGATGCCGGCAGCCTCTAGAGCCCAGGCCCTGCCTCTCCGTCTCCCCCTTTGCTGAGTTGCAGGTGAACCGCGGACCAGTGATCTGTGAACTTCTTGACCAAGCCCACATGCCGCACCTCGTGGACCTGGTGAAGCAGCGCCTGCGAGAGAAGGATTCGGTCAATCCGCGTGCTCTCCTGCACCGCCGCGGCATAAAACGTGTATTCCCGCAGGCAGGGATGCATCGCCCTGAAGGCATCCCGGACGTCAAAATTGCCACAAATGGTCGTTTTCCCCTCTTGACCCCAAGCCAGAAGTTTTGTCCAACACCGGGTCCTCGACAATGTTCAGATCCCCTGCTAACAGGAGGTGGTTCCCAGCAGGTACCGCAGCAAGGAACGGTCGGAGCACATCACGGAAGAACGGGGCTCTCGCCGTTGGACTCGCCGGAAAGTAAGCTGCCACCATCGTCACTACCAGTCCCCGCCACGACATGGTCACCCGCGCCAGACGCCCTGAGGCATCCCTGACCGTGTCCGAGCAGGAAATTTCACTGTTGCGTAAAACTATCGCCACCCCCCCAGCTCTTGCTGTAGGTGTCGCCGCTACCACTGTGTCTGCTTGAAGCTGCTTCCAGAAGGAGTGATTTTCCGCAATTCGTGTATCTGCAAATATAGCTACATGCGCTGTGTCTCTTATCCAGTCCTGAGCGTCTCGCTGTTTCTGTGGACAGCCGAGACCATTGACATTCAGAACACTGAAGGTGAGGGTGGAGCGTTTACCCATTTGGAACCTGTGTTAGGCCCCGAAGCATCCACGGGCCGGAGGTGATGTTGCTGCTGCAAGGATTTATTTCTGCACTTATACTCCAGACAGTAACAGGTACAACCGCAATGCTTACTCCCCTACTCCCTAGTGTAGGCAAACTCCTTGGAACCTACACACCTGAATCACTTTCCCTTCGCCTTTTCCGAACGGATCTCGTACAACTTTTTCGCTGCCTGCAGATTCAGCTTCGCCTTGGACGCACGGGTCGCAACACCCGCCGAGCCCAGCGCTGCATCGTGACTGAAGGAACTGATGTGGGCTGCTGCTTGGGCAAAGGTGTCCCCGTGCGCACGCTCGCAACACTCTTGAACATAGAGCCATTCCTCCACATTGGCCCCCGTTGAAATAAGGACCAGCGCCGGGTCCCGGAGGATCTTCCTCACCACCCCTGCCGACTGGAGGGAGGCCGCTGCAGAGGACACCCATCGCAACGTCGTCATTGAGCAAAACAGGAAAGCCGATGCAAAGGCGAGAATCCCGAGGAAAGACCCCCCCCCCCCTGTTACCGTTAATCATGTGGATCCTGCCTAGGGACAAGTTCCATTTGCCAAGGTTGTTACAACGCTCACGCACATACTCATCATGCAGCTTATCCATGTGCGGTCCCTGGCAGAAGCAGCAGGACAGCGACGGATAATGCACAAGGTAAGTCTCATCAGTGGTCGGGTCTTCCACCATGTGGCGCCAGCGATATTTGTCCCCAGGATGCGGAACGACAAGACCACGGATCTTATCCGTGTCCAACCCCGAGACTGGATCAACCACCCGATGAAACCCCGCTCCCTTCAGGACCCCGAGCGGCCGCGCTTCTGTAGCTTCGCGACCACCAGCGACTCGTAGACAATAGGCTGCGTAATCTCCGCTGGTACACCCTTCAGCATAACTTCCACCCCCTCCGGCACATCACTCTTCGCCTTCAAGAAAGCGCGGTTGACCGGGTGTAGCCAGCCGAAATGATGCTTCGTGGTTCCGACAACGTGCTCCACCCGGTGCTAACGCACCACATCTGCATCGGCAGCCGAGGCGAGCGTGACTTGAAGGCGACAGGAGTGGGTCCTTGACAAGTACGTCGGTAGTAGCTCATGAAACGCGAGGCTATCCAAGGCATTCTCTGACAGCCTCTTCCGCAGGAAAACCAGCAGAGCCTTCACTGAAGGCTGCACCGCCGGCATCTCCTTCTCCAGCTCGAACGGGATCAAGAGCGTCAGCGTGACCCGCGCCTTAGATGCGAGCACACCCTTGGCCTTAGGATCAATGCCTTCGTCGGAGTCATCGCTTAAGTAACCGTCGTCATCATCATCCTCATCATCGTCCCCCCCAGCAGACGCGAGCTCAACTGCAGCAGCAGGCGTAGGCGCAACAGGTTCCGGGACAGAAGCAGCAGGAGCCTTCCCCATCTTAGGCGAGATAAGGCCTTCACCAGGCGAGGTAGAAGCCGGGAGGACCGCATTCGCCTCAACACCAGCCGCCTGATCCCGCAATGGAGTGTTGGACTCTTCGGGAGACGCCATGTTAGCAGCAGCGGTGGTAGCCCTGGTCGAAACTGGCATGCTGATGCTTGCAGGAGCAGGTGTGAGGAGATCACTGTTGTTCCGTCCCATGCTCGCTTGCATTATATAGGAATCCATCTTCTTCCGCGATTTCCATTCCCAAGGCACTGTTTGAGCTTGATAATACCAAGGGGACCCTTTACCCCGAGAGTGCCTTGAAAGCGCGTCAGCAACAAACGCTACGAGACCATTGTCTGAAGATAATTATGTATGAACTCCAATCAGGGAATGACAACACAATGAGTAGGTACTCAGTGAGAAGATAAGACTTCTTGGTAATACCACCGGATGGCGCGACCAGCCCGAAAGCAATATCCAGGCAGAACCTAGGGCTGACTTGGACCATTTGCCTGGTACTCGGTAAGCATGAAGGATACCCGCTGGATGGGTACAATTTGATTGTATGCCTATAGAGAAACTCAAGCTGCATCTAATGGTGTAGTCTATGTCGAGAATAGGGACTGCTAGCCTAGACATTGTCCGCTTCAAAGCGCATGACAGGATCCATGGCGGCGAGCTAAGCAATAGCTGAAGGTGAGTGAACGTCAAACGGAACGTCATGGTCCGTCTAGTGCTTTTAGTAGCGTTGTTTAGCAGTCGGTTAGTTTAATGCGAATTAATAAATATAGGAATATCACTTCTGTAGTAATGTAAGGTACCTCAGCAATTATACGCAATTCTTCGCTGAGTACTACAGCGAGAGACTCTTACACAAGCTCTCCACGGCACCCAGATCTGATTGCTGCTTCCTCCATCATCGCCAGGCTGACTTGGATTGGATGTGACCGTTGGGAGGGAAATTCAGAGACGTCTGTACAAGCTCGTTTCATTGCCCCTGTCGTAGTAATCAGTGTGCCTGTACGCGGACCTTTCGTGGCTTTCGAGCGAACCATTTCTCTTAGTCCAAATTATAATTCTTCGCACATACGTTTGGGATGAAGATAACATCAATCCTGATTCTCAAGGACACAGAAGATGCGGAGCCTGTGCTGCTAGCGAGTGCCACGGACCTCAGCAGTTTCGGCTACTTTCAACGAGGCACGGTTAAGGAGATGATATGGTTCGTTTCGCGAACGATCGCCAGACGAACACCTCCCGGCCGGCGACAGAGCGTCGAGCACGAAGGTCAGTGTCAAGCGAGGTTAATTAAAAAAAGGAAATAAAGCAGGGCAGCGGGGCCTCGATGACGGGGGTTACTTTTCAGCCGCGATGCTGGTGTATCCGGTGTCGGCACCCGCGTTCCGTCGACACGCGTTACTTTTCAGTCGATCGGGCTCGGATACATGTTATATTATTCACGTACCCGGCGGATGCTTTGAGAAGGGTTTCTTTATTGGGTTGTTCTTTAAGAGTGTTTCTGTTTTTCCGCAGGCAATTACCGGTCCTCTCCTCGTCACTGGTCAGTGTCCGTTTATCTTCCGTCATAGTGACCCGCAGTCGGGTAAACCAACGGTTAACCGATGCAGGGTTGTCGTTGGACGGATGTTAAGCGGCGAAGACTATTTCTGGTCTGTTCGTTACGTTTCTCGTTCCTCTCAACACCGATTCAGCCATCATCTCACTCTGTCACTATCCCTCACCCCGCCCCTCTCCGGTCCCCTTTTCGCAGAGTATTTGGTGCATTGTTACAACCGTAACAACCTCGTCGGCATGGTGTTCGCGAACGCTGCCTATCCAACGCGCAGTGCCTTTTCCGTGATCAACAAGGTGCATCTACAGTTCCTTTTTCTTCCTGCTGCCTGTCATTCCAACTTTTTCCTCCTCCTTCCTCCTGATTCGTTCCTTTCGCTCGTGTCCTGCGCGCCTCTCTTTTTTCGATCTTCCTTCCCCTCCCACTTCCACCTACCCGCTTGTCCTGCTCGTCAACCTCCTCTCCCTACCTTCCCACCCCCCCCCCCCCCCCCCCCCCCCCCCCATTGTATACTTAATTCCCTCTTCGTCCCTTCATTCACTCTTTCGCTCTTTGGAATCTCCCGTCCCCTTACTTTTGCACCCCCCTCTTCTGCCCCTCCCTTGCTGCCACCCTTCTCCCTTCTCCATCCCCACCCCTCTCCCCGTCTCCGTCCCCGTCCCCATCCCATGCCCATGCCCATCCCCATCCCCATCCCCATCCCCATCCCCATCCCCATCCCCATCCCCATCCCCACCCCCACCCCCGTCCCTATCCCGCTTCCCGGTCTTATGTGCATCCCCATGCCACGTGTGCGCGCGGGGTGCGGCGGGCAGGTGCTGGACGACTACGTGGCTTTGAAGGGCGACTCGTGGATGCAAGCGACGGCGGACGACCGCGAGCAGCACGCGTTCCTCGAGGACGCCATCGCCAAGTTCCAGGTGCGCATGGCGGGGTGGTGCGCATGGCGGGGTGGCGGGTGGGGCGGGCGGGAGGGTAGGGGGGTAGACGGGAGGGAGGGCGCGAGCAGCACGCGTTCCTCGAGGACGCCATCGCCAAGTTCCAGGTGCGCATGGCGGGGTGGTGCGCATGGCGGGGTGGCGGGTGGGGCGGGCGGGAGGGTAGGGGGGTAGACGGGAGGGAGGGCGCGAGCAGCACGCGTTCCTCGAGGACGCCATCGCCAAGTTCCAGGTGCGCATGGCGGGGTGGAGGGCGCGCGGGACGGCGGGGAGGGAGGGACGGCAAGAGGGGTGGGAGGGAGGGAGGGAGGGAGGGAGGGAGGGAGGGGTGAGGGGAAAGAGGGTGGGATGGGGGCGGGGGTGGGAGGGGAGGGAGCATTGGGTGGGGGTGTATGGGAGGGGAGGGAGGGCGGGTTGGTGGTGGATGGGAGGGGAGGGAGGGTGGGGTGGGGTGGGGGGGAGGGGGGGGGAGGGGGGGATGGGAGGGGAGGGAGGGCAGGAAGGGAGCGAAGGAGGGGGGGTTAGCGAGAAAGAGAGCGAGGGACCAAGGGAGCAAGAGATGGGGGGAGGGATCTATGGGTGGATGATAGCAGGCCACGGACTGAGTTGACCATGTCGTGTGTGCAATGCCAAGAACGTATGCTTGAAGGAAGGATAGGAAGGAGAGCAAGGGGATGCCAGTGTGGTCAGCGCACAGAAGTTTTTGCTTCTAGAGCATGCCTCGTGCTTTAGTTTGGGTTAGACGTCCGCGTGCGCTTCCTCCTCATTTGTTGACACGGTTCTCCCCCTCCCTTGTTTGGGTGCGGCATGTGGCATGTGTCTGTGGCATGTGGTATGTGTGTGTGGCACATGGCATGTGTCTGTGGCATGTGGTATGTGTGTGTGGCACATGGCATGTGTGTGTGGCATGTGGCATGTGTGTCTGGCACGTGGCACGGCATGTGTGTGTGGCATGTAGTATGTGGCATGTGTGTGTGGCACGTGGCATGTGTGTACATGTCGTATCATGTGTGTGCGCGCGCGCGCGTGTGTGTGTGTGTGTGTGTGTGTGTGTGTGTGTGTGTGTGTGCGTGCGTGCGTGCGTGCGTGCGTGCGTGCGTGCGTGTGTGTGCGTGTGCACGCCATGCTTGTGTGCCAGGATCCAGTGGAGGCGGATAAGCTGATGAAGATTCAAAAGGAGCTCGATGAAACAAAGTTCATTCTGGTGCGTGGCACGTGGCATGTGTGCTGCACTGCCTGCTTGCTTCCCCTTCCGTCCGTCTCATGAATATCAAGCTGTTGAAACTGTTTCCCTCACCACATCACATGCTGCGTGTGATTGCAGTTCAAATTCCATTTCGTTCCAGCATTGTGTATTTGTGACACCCGTGTCCTCATGCTCCCCACCCAGTCCCACCCCTCCTCCCCTCCTCCCCCCCCCCTACGCTCGCACCCAACACTTTACACACCACACCCCAACTACACTTGCTTCTCCCCTGCACCTGCATTGGGGAGAGAAAAAAACTATATATTGTGCATTTATTTTGAGTTCTGACAGGCACTCCTGTGAAGTGCCATCCCTGTGCCACCCCTCACCTCTTCTTTGCGTGTGTGCATGGTTTGCTTGTGCAATGGAATGTCTGCTTTTGCACACGTGTTTGCATGTGGGCTTCTGCAAATCACGCTCGAATGTGCACGCACATGTGTATGTGGATGTGGATGTGGATGTGGATGTGGATGTGGATGTGGATGTGGATGTGGATGTGCGTGTGTGTTTGCATGAGCACGTGTGTGTGCATGAGCATGTGTTTGTGCATGTGCATGTGTGTGTGCGTGTGCATGCATGTGCATGTGCATGTGCATGTGCATGTGTGCTTGCGTGTGTGCGTGTGCATGTACTGTGCTGCCCCTGTGCTGTTTCTGTGCTGTTTCTGTGCTTCTACACGTGACCCTGGGAGCAGCACAAGACGATAGACAGTGTGTTGGAGCGGGGGGAGAAGTTAGACACGCTGGTGGAGAAGAGCAACGACCTCAGCATGGCATCGCAGGTGCGTTTACAGCTTACCTTGCCTTACACACACGCAACACCTTTCTCCCCCCTCCCCCGCCCCGCACACCCCCGACCCCCGCTTTTGTTTTATTCGGTTTCGCCCTTTTGTACGGCTGGTGTATGCTTGTTCGTTCCCACAACATGCTGACGGGAAAGAAGATGACAGATAGTGCAGAAATAAAAGAATATCATAATTTCACCACACGGGGGGTGGGTGCGGATGGGGCAAGGGGCTGGAAGGAAGTGGGTGAATAATGGTTGGGCGGGTGGAGTTGGGAACACGCAAATAAAGAATCTGGTGATTGGGAGTTCCGTGATCAGTGTCTGGACCTTCTTTCCAGATGCAGCTTCCGTTCTTCTGTCTGCTGCTCTACCACTGCGTGTGCTGTCTCGTCACGACGTATTTGTGTGCGTTGTTTCTGTGTCATGTTCCTGTGCTGTCGGTGATTGCAGCTCTTTTATCAGCAAGCCAAAAAGAACAACCAGTGTTGCAAGATGGTGTAAAAATACCGTACAAGCCTTCCTGTTCTCAACTGTCTCACACATAGAAACGTTGGAGCCATTCTTTCAATTCCAGTGCAGCGTTCACCACAGTATTCGTCAGGTAGTATCCGAGCTTGTGCTTTATCCGCTTCCATGCCACAGATTCCAAAGCGGCTGCTGGAAAGTAGCTACTAGTATCATGTCACGTACATGTCATTCTAGCTAGAATGGATAAGGTGGCCATTGGAAGCTAGGGGAAATGGGCATTGGTACTGTACATGGTTTTGCATAACATCCACCATCAGAAATAACTGTTTGATTTTGCCACTATGGCCAAGAGAGCCCACAGCAGTTGTCAGCAAATACCTCATGGAAGGTGTTGTGCCATATGATGAATGTACTACCAGCCTCCTGGAATACCAACAGTCCCACAAACCCACACTCCCACACCCCCACACCACCATGGTGGTACGGCCTCAGTAAGTGCAATCGACGACAAAGGGGTTGAGGAGTGAAAGGAAGTCGTCAGCAGCCATGGCCAGCTTGAGGTCCACCTCGCCCCCACCCATCCAGAAGTAGCGCGGCCGCAGGGCCAAGATACGATCTGATATGATCACCTGGCGGGTGGGAGAGGGTGGGTGGACCAGGTAAGAGAGGAGAGGAGAGGATAATGAGTTGGCTTTTGTATTTTGAGTCAACCCAAAATACCCCTTCCATTTAGAAGTGGCGCAGCCGCAGCGCCAAGATACGATCTGATATGATCACCTGGTGGGTGGGAGAGGGTGGGTGGACCAGGGAAGAGAGGAGAGGAGAGGATAATGAGTTGGCTTTTGTATTTTGAGTCAACCCAAAATACCCCTTCCATTTAGAAGTGGCGCAGCCGCAGCGCCAAGATACGATCTGATATGATCACCTGGCGGGTGGGAGAGGGTGGGTGGACCAGGGAAGAGAGGAGAGGAGAGGATAATGAGTTGGCTTTTGTATTTTGAGTCAACCCAAAATACCCCTTCCATTTAGAAGTGGCGCAGCCGCAGCGCCAAGATACGATCTGATATGATCACCTGGTGGGTGGGGGACGGTGGGTGGACCAGAGCAGAGAGGAGAGGATGGTGGGTTGGTTTTCGGATTGACTCAAGAGATGGTACAGACTTGCAGAGCCAAGATTTGATCTGATATGATCACGTAGCGGGTGGGCATGGGTGGAACAGGAGGGATGGGGTGCAGGGTTGATTCATGGGTGTGCGAGTGTTTTGTTTAAGCGGTCAGAGGCTGTTTGTGTGGCTGATACTCTGTAAACAATGCGGGGTAAAGTGGGGCATGGCAGGACAGTGGAGAGGAGGAGGAGGAGGAGGAGGAGGAGGAGGAGGAGGAGGAGGAGGAGGAGGAGGAGGAGGAGGAGGAGGAGGAGGAGGAGGGGAAGGGCGAGGGCACTGAGGGTTTGTGGTTGGGTATACGCCGTGTGTGGGCGACAGAGGGAGGGAGGATAGGAGAAGGAGAGAGGGGAGTACCGGGATGGGAGTGCGGGTGCCGATGGGAGCAACGGCATTGTGCTCAAAGCCGGTGAGAGCCATGGAGTCCTCCTCAGGTGCAAGGCGCACTGATGATGTGCGTGCATGCATCCATGCACCCATGCATCCATGCACCCATGCACCCATGCACCCATGCACCCATGCATCCATGCACCCATGCATCCATGCACCCATGCATCCCTGCACCCATGCATCCATGCACCCATGCATCCATGCACCCATGCATCCATGCACCCATGCATCCATGCACCCATGCATCCATGCACCCATGCATCCATGCACCCATGCATCCATGCACCCATGCATCCATCCATCCGGAAACAGTCATATTCAGCCAGGCACGAACAGCAAAACACAGTCGTAGGTAGAAAGAGGAGGGATGGTGAAATGCAGAAGGTACAGGAGAAAGGAAGGTACGGGGTGCACGTGGCGTCCAAGAATGATGACATGTGGTCATGTGACCGTGCCGTGAAGTGACCTTGTGAAGGCAAGCAATGTGCGGTGAGGAGAGGCGAGGCGAAATGAGGTGAGGTGAGGTGAGGTGTATGCACGGGACAGCAAGGAACGGGAAAGGACAAAACGGCATGGGAAAGCAGGGCACGAAACAACATGATGTGACATGTCACATGTGAGGCGGACTCAGTATTGGTACGCTTCTTGGCCACGGTGCCATCATTGAGTGCGTACACAAAGTTGACTTTTGGGGCGCCTCAAAAGACAGCAAGGCAGGCATGGAACATGACGTGACATGCGAGGAGGAGAGCACTGACTGTTGATGCGCTTCTTGGGCACGGTGCCATCATTGAGTGCGTACACAAAGTTGCGGACCTTCTCCGCATTCAGCCGCGCTGAGTACTGCCATGCGGGAGAGGAGGGGGGAGGAGGGGAGAGGAAGGGGAGGGCGGGAAAGGCGGGGGGGGGGCAGAGGGGAGAGAGGGAGGGAGGGGAGAAGAGCGGGAGAAAGAGGGAGAACGTTCTTTGTGCGCAGTGCTGTTGTTGATTGCGTAAACAAGGTTGAGGACCTTCTCTGCATTCAGCCGCGCTGAGTGCTGGCATGAGGGAGAGGAGGGGGGAAGGGCGGGAGGATGAGGAAGTCTTGTGGCACAGCAGTGCATGCATGGCATGCACTCGGCATGCAGTCACTCAGCAAATTCGTGCCCTGCGTGCGTTGGATAGCGCTGCACGGAACACAGAAGTATTTGGTTGAGATGTGAAAGAGCCCCACCTTTGATCAGCTTCGTGCACAGCTTAAGAAAAGTTAGCGCTCGCAAGTGGTGAAGGGCATGTACTACTACCATGGAATGGAATGGAATGGAATGGAATGGAATGGGAGCAGCAGCATGTGAATGGAGTGAGGCAGAACAGTGTGCATGGCATGGCACTGGTTGTCATGTCACCGCACCTGAATGACAATGATATAGTACTTGGAGTAGCGCGGATTGCTGCAGTCCACCACGTCTGCAGGCGCCTGTGTATTGGTCTGGTTGTGCAACAGGGAGTGGAGGAGAAGGCGGGGAGGAGTGGGCAGGAGGGGGAGGAGGGAAAGGGAGCGAGTGGAGAGTGGGAAAGAGATGAAATGTGGCGGAGCATTGGGGAACAACAATGTGGGGAGGTTGTGATGGTTGGGAGAGGGAGGTGGCGTGACAAAAGGAAGGGAATGGACGAGAACACTTGTTGACAGTGAGAAAGGGCGTGTGGTGAGGGGGATAGACATATTGCGCTACAATGGCCGGTCGTTTGAGGCATAGGCTGTTGCTGGTTGCTCCCAACCTGGCTGGCATAGGCTCTTAGGACTATAAACCACCATCCTTCGTCCAGGACCAACCATCCATACCTTGGCTTCAACAAGCATAATATGGCATGACACACCACATCCTGACATCATTCCCTGACATAATATGCTGCCATAATTAGTACGCATGTCATCATACCCTGACGTTATAATTACGCATGCCATCATACCCTGACATGATACGCGGAGACTACACCATTACAGTACACCACAGCATCACACCATGACATAACACCATGACGTCACACCATGACGTCACATCATGACGTCACACCATGACAATGCTCTTGCACAGATGGTTAACGGACGGAGCGCCAAGCACATCTCGCCGCGCCTCCAGCGTCCAGTCGTAGTAATCCGACGGCACCCGCCGAAACCGGAATCGCGTGATTCCTCCCGCTCGAATCGCATCTGCGAGCCGCGTCTGCGTGGCGGTCTCATCCCCTGCCGCCACGTCACCGGGCACCGGACCTTCCAGTTCTTTCAAATCATCGCTTCCTTCCTGCGACGCGTGTCCGGAAGGAACGCCGCGGGAGGCGGCGTTACTTGTGGAAGGTTCGAGCCAGCTTCGCTGCGCCGCAGCGGTGATCGCGGAGAGGCGATCAGTGAGTTGGTCGATCTTAGAGAGAATGGCGACCTGACGCGCCTCGAGCTGCTGTTGGGTGGCAATATCGAGGTCTGGGGACATAGTGATGTGAGGCAGAAAGGAGAAGGATGATTGGAGGAAAATGAAAATTGCTGGAGCTAGGGGGAAACTTATGATTTGGCGGTGGCGGTTTTGGTTTGGGAAAATATGCTAAAGTAACCAAAATGGGACTGGATAACACGAATAGTAAAAAACAAACGCGTACGGTCACTGTATCGGGTTTGCTGACGGGTTTGGTAAGTGGGGTCACGGATTCAGTCATTAACAACAGGAAAAATATCACGCGAATGGTCACACATGTAACTCCCGCCAAAATTTCTTGAAACTCTACAAATTTCCCGCTCGCGCCCAACCAATCTGCTAAGTTCTAACAAAACTAAAACCCAATCGGAATCGGATGCGGTTTGGGAACGGATCAACCCTAAACACCTGGCGATTTACGTGTTTAGAATTGATTCGTCCGAAAATGAATCCAGGTTCCATTTGGGTTATATTTTTTGGCGGGAGTTTCATCTGTGACCATTCGCGTGAGTTCTTACCAGTTACTAGTGACTGATTCCGTGAAACGTTTTATCAGTCGCGTGAAAACACCCTTTGCAGTGACCGTACCCGCTATTTCTTTACCAGAAATGTTTTCGTTACGAATGGTATATTTTCCCTTTTGGTTTGGACGAATTGACGAGGCTGGTGTTGTACAGAGCTTTCTGGCAAACCTTGGAATAATAAGGAAAATGAAATTCTTATTACCAGTAGCACACAACTTCAAGTACCGTACACACTTCCTACCCAACTAACACGCTAAGGAGAGCAATTAATGAATGAAAGGAATTGCTAGATTTCCTGAACCTAGTCAGTAATTTTCTCCTTCATAACTCCTCGGCTACATGCCTGTCCCAATGTTAGCGCCTCCATTACGTGGCAGTCCACCATCGTCCATGCTATTCAAAATAGCATCTAAATCAAACACCCCTTGCAGGCTCCACACCTCATCCCTGTCCCCTTCCATAGCCGCATCATTTGTCGCTGTACCCACAGAGGCAGTGCCAACGGCACCTGCTGCACCATCCACACCAGCAGCAGGAGCAGCAGCTGCATCGGTAGCAGCAGCAGGAGCAGCAGCAGGAGCACCAGCAGCAGCAGCAGCAGGAGCAGGAGCAGGAGCAGGGGTGTGCGAGGCATCGGTGTGGCCCTCCGTTGTCCTCCCAGTACCCAGATTCGATCTGATATCCCAACCAAGATAATGTCCCGCTGATGCACAGTGCACTGGAGTCCCAAGATTTGCACCCCACTCTCCGAGAAAACTCAGCTGCATCGGGGAAATCAGGACACCTGGAACCAGCACCGCCCTGCGATGCAGTTCAGATGTGAAGAGCAGAGGCAGGAGAAGGGACTGCATGTCTTCCTCCTCGCCCTCCACTGCTCCTCCCCCCTCTGCCACACCTGCACCTGCAGCTGTACCTACACCTGCATCTGCTGGTGGTGCCAATGCCGGTGCATGCGTCGCTGACGCTGGTGCTGGTGCCCCTGGTCCCACTGCTGCTGTCGCTGCTGCTGTTGTTGCTCCTGCTCCTGCTCCTGCTCCTGCTTCTCCTGCTGCTACTACTTCTGCTTCTGCTTCTTCTGCTGCTGGTGCCGCTGGTTGTGCCGCTACTGGCATTGCCGCCGAAGCCGCTGCTTCTGCAGCCTGAGTAACAGCTGCTGCCTCTGCAGCTGCCGCAGCCACCAGGCACTCGCCCCAGCTTGCCTCCTCTTCCTCCCCTTCCCCCACCGACCCAACATTCATGTAGTCAACAACCATGGGTTGATTCCCCTCTTCGGCAGTAGCTGATGCAGGGAGAACAGCAGCAGCAGTAGCAGTAGCAGTGGGAGAAACGGTAGGAGCGGACAATGGGTTTGCAGGTACTGCATTTCTGCCAGAAGTAGGAGTGTCAGCAGCAGCTGTGGAGGGGACGGTTGGCTTGGTGTGTCGAGACAGAGGGGGGAGTGAGAGCCGCAGCTTGCTGTCAAACACCCCCCGCCGCTCACTTAACCGGCCCTCCCTGTCCATTTCCATGCGCCTGCTGATGCTTTTTTGCAAGCAGCTAATGTTGTTGCTGTTGTTGTTGCTGCTGCTGCTGCTGCTGCTGCGGCAGCTGCCTCTGCACACGTGCCGTCTCACTCCCTTCTCCCTCCCATGTTCCCGTGTTTGGGACAGCATTACGTGCAGCAAGTGTGGCAGGAATAGATGAAGCAGCGCAAGACATCGTGCCTGCAGCTGCTGCTGTCGCTGCTGCCTCCGCCGCTGCGGCCGCCGCAGCTGCGACTGCTGCAGTTGTGGTTGTGGTGGCTGCCGAGGCTGCTGCGTGGGGGTCTGCAGCCTGCACGCCTGCTGCAACAGCGGCCGTTATAGCAGCTGCTGCCGCGGCAACGGCTGCCGAGACAGGGTGAGACGAGGCGGTGAAAGAGTAGGAGGAAGCAGAGAGAAACGCTGCTACTGTGGCTGGAGGGAGGGCGCTGTGCTTGCTGGGGGAACTCCCCCGTGCAGCAGCAGAGGGCGAGGGCGAGGGAGAGGGCGAAGGATAGGCTGAACGAGAGCCCGAGGGACAGGCCAAGGGGAATCCGTAGGCCTGCACCTGATTGGAAAGGGGTTTCTCTGGCTGCTGGGGGGATGTATCCATGGGGTGAAGGCCACAGTTGATTTCAGGGACAGCAGTGGAGACAGTGGGAGCAGCAGGTGAAGCAGGCATGGCAGGAGTGGGTTGTTGAGAGGCGGTTAGTTGCCCAGGGAGGGGGTGTGGGGATGCCGCGTCTGGCACGATCCAGTGCTGCGCCTGCTGCTCCCTCTGCTGCGGTACCCACTTCTGCTGCTGCTGCTGTTGCTTCTGCACCGTTCGGTGAAGGAGGCGTGAGAAGCTTTGCGTGGCATGCTTGTGCTCCGAGGACAGAGGGGCAGGGCGGCGATGCGATGCCGGCAGGGAGCGCGACAATTGGAGCGCCCACTTCGACGCAGGCTTACCACTGGCGGTGTTCGCAGCAGCAGCAGCAGCAGTGACGGCAGGAGTAACAGCAGTGGTTTCACCAGCAATAGAGGAAGAGGAGCCAGAGATGGAGAGAGACGCAGAGGCCTCAGTGCCACCAGAGGTTGCTGCTGCAGCTGCTGCTGTTACAGCTACTGTTGCAGCTGTGGTTGCGGCAGGCGAGCCGAGACGCAGTGGAGACATGGACACAGGTAATCCTGGCGAGGGCGAAGGTGACGGTGATGGTGACGGCGACGGTGAGGGTGACGGTGCGGGTGAGGCTGTTACCTGCCATGGACTCCTGCCTGCTGCCGATGCCGTGGCTTCCATGGGGGTTGCCGGCGCCGATGCCGCGACGCGCGATCCGGTGTGCCTCAAACCTGTTGCCGCGGCTGCAGCAGTCGCAGACACCGACGGAAGCTGCTCCGATGCCACTGCTGCTGCTGCTGCCGCTGCTGCTGCTGCCGCCGCTGCTGCTGCTGCTGCCATGGGGGTACCAGCCGCCCATGGCATCGCGGCTGCCGGTGCAGGGCTGCATGAGAGACGGCCCCGGAGGGTGTGACGCTCCGATGAAGCAGCGCGGCGGTAGTACGGCTGCGAGAGTGGCGAGCGGGTGGCGGAGCCTGAAGCCCTCACGCTGCGGCTGCGGTTGGCCAGGTCCGCAGCCTCCTCCTCCGCGCCACCATAGTCCTGCACAGCAGCAGCACCAGCAGCAGCAGCAGCAGCAGCAGAAGCCTCGCGCGCCGACGCAGAAGTGGGAAAAGCCGCTTTTGCGGGCGGTGCCGTGCCAGTGCCGGTGCAGTCATATGCCTGCGTGTGGTGCTCCAGTGCGGCCTCCGCCGAAGCAGCGCGCTTCCACGGACGTCCCCAGGACGACGGCTCTGCCTCCGCGGCAGCAGCGGCGGCGGCGGCGCCAGTGGGAGCGGCTGACGGCCGGCGTCGCTTCTGCTTCGCCGCGGCGGCTGCGCTGCTGTGCTCCTCCTCCTCCGCGGCGCTGGCGCTGCTGGTGTCGTCGCTGCCGCAGGGGTCGGGAGAACTGCACGCGGACACGCGCTGATGATGGCTCGCGCTACCGCTGGGCGTGGGAGTAGTAAGCGTGGCGACATGATGTATCGTACTCGGAGTTCGCACGTTCGTCGCTGCGTCTTCTCCCTCCGACGCGAGCGCTCGCTGGAGAATCGAGACCGCCGCCGCGGGGAGGATGTCTATAGGCGATGGGGCCGCCGCGCTCCCACTCCCAGCCTGCCCGACTTCCTCGCCGCTTCTTCTCGACGTGATCTGTGCGCCGCCGCCGCTCGGTGCGCTTTGCTCCTCCTCCTTGCCTAGCAGTCCGCCGTGCTCCTCTTTGCCTGGTCCGCGCAGCTCCACTCCCGAATCCACGCGAATTTGCGGCTGTGCGCCGCCGACGCCGCCGCCGCCGTCGCCGCCCACCTGCTGCAGCTTGATCGCCGCCTCCTTGCTCGCGCGAAGCAGCGCCTCGGCGGTGCCACGTGGCAGCGCCACGGGAGCCGGGCGCTCCCCGGGAAAGTTGAGTTTGGCGGAGCGGCCGCGCAGCAGCCGCGCCGCCATGTCGTAGACCCGCGCCGCCTCTTCCGCGCTATTGTAGCTTCCAAGCCAGATGCGATTTCCGTGTACAGGTTCACGGATCTCCGTCACCCACCGGCCCCATCGCCGTTGCCGCACGCCGCGGTAGCGCGGTCCGCCGCCGCCGCCGCCGCCGCTTGCCGCGTCGCCGTCGTCGCCGCTGGTGTTGCCGCCGTCGCGCGGCGGCGGAGGATGCGATGTCGCGTGCGATGACTCTCGCCGGGGCGGTTGAGCTGGCGACGACGTCGCGTGCGAAACATCTTCGTCGCCGGGGATGCTCCGGGAAGATGCCTCTTCCTTCTTCATGGTACCGCCGAGCGCAATCTTCGTCTCGTTGTACTGCCGCGCCGCTTCAGCCGCGTCGCCTTGCTCACTCTTCTGTTGATGGTGCTCTTGCGAGGGGTGATGCCGATGGTGATGCTGATCACGAGTGTGAAGCCCCAGAGAGATGCTTCTGCTACTAACCGCGATCATCGCATCTGATCTACTGTTACAGTACTTGTAAACACGTCCTGTGCTAGCCGGGAGATGAGATGATCTCTCGCCAGATAGTTTCTTGGTCGCAGTGCGGATGAGAGAGCTCTTGGTCTGATCAGCAAAGTTGCGATCGACAGGGCCTCGATCAAACGCCTCGAAATCCGCTTGACGATTTCCGCTTTTCCTTTCACGTGAAAAGGCGTGTCTTTCGCGGTTGCTCTTCCAAAAAAAGGGCTCCGAGAGTCCGTAATAATGATATTGGAGCTGTGGCCGTCTAGAGGGCGGCTTCTGCCGTGTTGCCGAGATGCCGTGCTGAAGGGAAGAAATTCAGAAATATGTGTGGGAGTTTGGTTGGACTGGCCTTGCCGAAGGGAAGAAATTCAGAAATATTTGGCTGTGGGTGGAGGGGGAGGACTGGCGAAGCCACAGGTTTCGCCAATTGACGAGAAAGCTCGGACATTGCCGCTGTGGTAGCTGTTTTTGCGATTGGTAACCTGTTGTTCCCATCACGCCCTGAAAGGACGACTGCGGAGCCGAGTCGCGTGCTCCGGACGAGACAAGAGGGTTTGGGGGGAAGGTGATTTTGTTTGCTTGCAGGATTTCCTTGGCGCAGAGGCAATGGGGGCAACATTTTGCACACCTTGATGGGTCTCATTTCCGAACCGCGTTCCCTGCTTCATGTTCCCAAACCAACCTAGCGAATCCTGGTGGAAGTAGGTGAGTTGACGAGCGATAGGGAGGACGCCACGTCGGAGAGACTATGCGACCAAGTCAGCCCATTGAAGGTTTTGATTGGACAGATACTCAAGAGGTTGGAGTGTTTGGCGTTTTGTGCGTAGACCGTCAGCGTTACGGTCAACTACTAGGGTACACCCAGAAATCTGGCTCCAAGTGCATGTTCGGATGCTTCTTTGAAACGTCCTTGCATCCATGACGACTAATCGCACATTCACAACCAATCGTGAGTGAATGTAATTCCGTTGATTGCGGGACAACCACCTGCGATGCGTTCGTAGACCTACGTTAAGACTTCCGTCAAGACCCTGCCGATAGACCTGATTCAACGGTTGCAACTCGAGCATTTTGGAGCTTTATGCATTCGATACGACTACAAACGATGCTATGTATTACGTTGTTTTCTAGAATCCGACAATACGGTATGTTATTACCTGCTTTGTGTGATTGATTTGCTTTGACGTTTTCCTTTCTCAACTGCTAAATGGAAACATATCTTGACCAGACACGTTGAAGGACTCAACCTCAAGCTGGATAATGTAGTCGATGATGGTTAGAAATACTAGAGAAAAAAAATGTATGGCTTACTACGAGGTGCAATCATAGCTGGACTATCTCCACTATTGCATTCGGCTGGGAAATTCTTTACATTCTCGACAACACCACCGATTTACAACGATTTATAATGTCCAAAACATACTTCCCCATCCACTGATACATAAACCCCTTCCATTTACCTACAATGGTTCCTCTCCCACCACCCCCATCCATCCCTCCCTCCTCACATCTTCATCTCCCCCCATCAACTCCCTCCCATTCCCTCACGTTCACGTCCCCCCTTGAACATTGTCTTCCTCAACCAGTTCCCACCGACCCATATCTCTCTCCA